AAAATTTGAAAAAATATTTTTCATTGTTTTTTGAATTTCTTCATATTTAGTAATCATTCTATTATTAACATAAATAAAAGGTTTAGTTGTGGTAAAAAATTTGTTAATTTCCTTTTCATTTGAATCAATTTGATTTGATTTTACAATACTTGAATAATTTGGAACATGAATTTGTAATAAAAATTCATTATTAAATAAATTTAAATTATTTAAAAATATATTATTTTCATTTTCTTCATTTAATATTATATTTGAATATAAATATAAATGATCATATAAATTAGGTATTCCAAATATAGTATTTAATGATTGTTTTAAATTTTTAATATTTCCATTTTTAATAAATGATATTTTTTCACCTTCCTTAATAGTAAATCTAATATTAAAATGTATTAAAGTTAATTGTTTTAACATTTCTTTTAAATCTGTAAATTGTGAATCAAATTGATTAACAAAACATTTCTTTCTAACTGGAATGGTTGAAAATAAATCTTGAATTGTTATTATTGTACCTCTATTCATTCTAATTAATGTTTTAGATACAATTTCACCTCTTGTATCATATATTAAATATGTTCCTAATTCAGATTCATCTCCATATTTAGTTTTAATATGTACTTGTTTACTTAAATTACATATACTATTTAATGCTTCTCCTTTATATCCATAGTAATAATTATTATTTTCATTATTATTATGAGAATGATTATTAGATGATGATTCATTATTATTTAAATTATCAGTGGTATTATTTACATTTTTATCATTATCATTAAAAGTATTAAAATGATTCATAAATTTATGAGTATAATAACGTTTACATAGAGTTTCAAAATTATCCTGATGAATACCATGACCATTATCTTTAATAATGATACATTCTTTACCCTGTAATTGAATTTCAATATTAGTGGCTTGTGCATCAAGTGCATTTTCTATTAATTCTTTAATACAATCAGAGAGTGATGATATATTAGTTCCAGATTTTAAGGTATCTTGTAAATGTTTTGGTAGTTTTTTAATAATAGGAGCTGATGAAACTATTGTTGTCATTCTAGAAGATGAAGATGGAGTGGATGGAGTTGATAAAGTTGATGATGTTGTAGATGATGGTGTTGTAATACTACTACTACTAACATTATTCCGAGGTGTTGATAATGATGATGGAGATGGTGTTAATGATGTACCATCAGTTGGTGATGATGCTGATGATTTAGTGGGTGTAGTAACAATACTATTATTAATACTCATTTTTTTTTTAGAATTGATGGATGGCACTGATTGCAATAATTTCCATCATTCACAAGAACATTCATCCTTCAATCAAGGCTGTGATTTTACAAGGCTACAATTAGTCACAGGCTAACAAAGTCTGTGTATTTTATTACCTACAATAAACCTTAACAAATAAAATGTCTCAAAGAGTAACCAGAAGTCAGACAACAAGTAAAAAGGTAGCAGTAGTAACATCAAATGAAGGCTCTGATCATTGGGTTAGGAAAGATACATTACCACAAATAAGACAAGACGATTTTGACACCACTTCTGATGATGATAGTAGTAGTTCTTCAGATTATGATGATGAAGAATATTCATCCAATGAGGAAGAAGATGAAGAATTAGAATCCGAATCCAATAGAAAACATCCGAAACGAAAGGGATTAAGAAGAATCAATTATAAGGATTATGAAACTGATGATGAAGAAGAATTAATTGAAATACCAAGAAAGAAACGAAAGAATAATAGTACTTTACATCACAAATTAAAGCCTTCCAAATCATTCATAACTACACCACTACCACCACATAATGCATTAATTAGTGGTTCAAGTCAAGAAGAAGAGAAAGCACCACCACCTTCATCACCACTTCCACCACCATTAGGCTTGTTAGGTTGTGATGGTGATATTGTACCATCATTTTCCTCATCAATATTGAGTGCACTCTTTACAGAGAGTAATGATACAACTCAGGAATCAACTAGTGAAGATAGTTTGGATTATTCACAAAACACAAATAATACTACTAACACTACTAATGTCATTATCAATAATGGTGATACTACTAATAATATTGTGATATCACAATCTGAAAAGCCATCAACACATTCATTATTTCTTTTAATTGGTCAATCGGAATCAGATGATGAAGATAATGAAGATTTTGATACAACTAACATTAACAGTGAAGAAATGACTCATACATCACCAACACCTCTAATAGTCAAAGATGAAATTCCTTATTATGTTATTGAGGAAGAACCAATTCATTCTAAACTCAATCAATCCACATTACAACATCATGACAATGAGCTTGTAGCATTACCAACTATATTGAAACATAACACTCTTAATCTACTCAATACCACTACTATCAACACTAACATTACTAAAAAGATGAACATTAACAACACTACTAATAATCATCTTAACAATATAACCATCATTGAAATAGATTAAAAAATCATTGAATCAAATTATTAACAACTAAGAGTTTATTATTTATTACTATTATTAGTAGAAATAATATTATTTAAATCATTAAAAGAAATGAAATCATTCATGGATTGAGCATGTTTAACACCATTAACAACTGCCTTTTCAACAACTTGTGCAGCCAAAGTACCAATTAAATTAGTAGGAGGTTTAACATTAATAGTACCAGTTGAGATTACAAAAATAGTATCACCATCATATAAAGTATGAGATGGTTTCATTGAACGTGCATATCCATCATGCGCCATCATTGCAATTCTATTCAATTGAGATTTATCTAATATTCCATTACAAACAACAATACCAATAGTTGTATTTGTTATATCATGCTTTCTTTTAGATAATTCAAATGCATTGGCTTCTTCTTTAGATTGTAAATATTCTTTAATTAATATCTTTTCACTATCAAGAAATTCAACTAATTTATCATTTGAAGAATTATTAAAATTATTAGAATTAAATGATGTATCATCAGTATTATTTGTACTAATAGTTGAATCAGATAATAATGATGTATTAGTTGTTGTTGAATCAGATGTTGAATCAACATCATTAATTTTATAACATCCAGCAATTAAATTTCCATTTTCATAAACATCACCAAAACAATTAACAGCAACCATTGCACCAATTTTTAATTCATTATCAACTTGAATTGCATAACATCCTAATCCACCTTTCATTGAATGTTTAGCTCCTAATAATTTACCAATTGTAGATCCATTTCCTGCTCCTATATTTCCATTTATATCATTAGATATTGGATTTTTACATGCTTTATATCCTAATTCAAAATAATTTGGTAAATCAATTATTGAATTATTTTGATTATTAGATGTTGATGATGTATTATTATTATTATTATCATTGGATGATAATGATAATGATGTATTATCTTTCTTATTTAACATTTGTAAATCATATAAAACAGCTTGACAAACAATTGGAACATTTAATATATCTGTATGATATCCAATTCCTTTTTCTCTAAAATATTTCATTACTCCTGAAGATGCATCTAATCCAAATGCACTTCCTCCTGAAATTACACACTTTTTTAATAAATTAAATATATTAATTAAATATTAAATATATTAAGAAAATATATACATAAAACATACACCATGTATTTTTTCAACTAACATTCCAGGTTTTAATAAATCAGTTTCTCTTGTACCAGTTGCACCTCCTCTACAATCAACACCACATCCAAATCCTTCGGAGTTTTCACTCAACACAACTGTACATCCACTATTACCTTCATTACAATGTCCTACTATTATACCTTCAATAGATGTGAAGGGAATTTCTTTCATTTTTTTTTAGTTTATTCACACACATGAATTAACAGATTATTAATTGTTATTAGTGGTTAGGTTCATCATTTTCAATTATTGAATGTTTGATACTTCAAAAAACAATAATTTTATTATTATTATTTAAATTTCATTTGCAAAGATTATAAAACATTAAGGTTATAAGAGTCAATTAAACAAATATTAAGGTTTTTCTAAAGATTTTATTTATTTATTCTTCTTCTCCTTTCTCAATCCATTTCTTCTAATATCAATAGTATTTAATTTACAAAGATTACTCAAATAAGAAACTCCTTCATTTTTAATAAAATTTTCACTAATATTAAGATGTGTTAATTCACTCAATTGACCAATATATTTAGCACCAATTTCAGTAATATAATTACCATCAATTAAAAGTCTATTTAAATTTGTTAATTTACTAATATATTTAGCACCTTCATCATCAATTCCTGATTTACTAATATATAAACATTTCATATTTTCAATACTACTATTAGTAATTAATTTAACACCTTCAATACCAATTAAATTATATCCAATTGAGAGATGTGTTAAATTTTTAAAAATATTTTCACTTAAAAATTTCACACCTTCATGTGTTAAATTATTACGTGCTATAGAGAGATGTGTTAAATTTGTTAAATTATTTAGAAATTTAATATAATCATCACCTATATCATTAAATGATATATCTAAATATGTTAATTGTTTCATTTCACTTATATATTTAATATTTTCAATATTATTATTACAATCAATATTATTATTATTATAAATATTATTATTATTATTAATAATAGAATTAATTGAAAGACTTGTTAAATTTTTTAATTTTGAAATTTCTAATAAACTTTCAAATCCAATTTTATTATTACTAATATCTAATTCTTTTAATTCTTTTAATTCATTACAAATATATTTAACACCATTTATAGTAATATTAGTATAATATATATTTAAATTTGTTAATTGTTTTAAATTGTTAGAAATTAATTTAATACCGTCATCTCCAATACAATTTTGTTCAATTATTAAATTTTTTAATTTTCTTAATTTGATTAAATATTTTGAACCTTCTTTAATTTCACAATTAGTTATATTTAAAAATATTAATTCATTCATTTCACTTATATATTTAATACCACAATCTTTTATAGAATTTCTACTTAAATCTAAATTAGTAATATTTATCATTTTACTAATTTGGTAAAATACTTCTTCTTGACATAAATAATTATCAGATAAATTTAATATTTTTAAATTTAACATATTTTCACTTAATATTTTAAATGAATCTAATGTTAAATTATTTGCATTTGATGCTAATGATAAAAATGTTAAATTTTTCATTCTTGTTAAATATTTAATTCCTTCTATAGTAATAAAATTATTTGAAAAATGTAAACATGTTAATTGATCTATTTCACTAACTAAAATTTTAGTACCTTCATCTCTTAATTGATTACAATTAACATTTAATATTTTTAAATTTTTAAAATATTTTAATAATGGTAAAAATAAATTATATTGTTCATTACCATATATAGTCAATGAGGATATATTATTAAATAATAAACTATTAAAGTTATTAAATTTAAAAGTATATAATTGTCTATTTAAAAACCAAAATGGAGAATCATCTCTTTTAAAAAATGAAAATTGTAAATTTTTAATTCTTTCAAGAATTACATTTAACCATTGTTTGGAAATTAATAAACAACTTTTAATAATTTGTTGTGAATTTAAATAACATAATATTTCATAACATATATCATTGGGTATTTGTATTTGTTCTTGTAGTTCTTGTTTACAAGATGATGATGATGAAGTTGAATTATAATTGTTGCACATCATGTTATTGTGATTGTTATTATGAGAATATATGGGTTAATGATGATGATGTATTTTTTAATGTTGTGAATTATTAATATCCTTTTTTTCAATTGATAGGATAAATTGTTCATGAACTTTAAGTACATGAAGGCTAAATATATTGTTCATGTTATTACTGTCAAAAATATTGTTGACTATAGTTTCATCCTAACATTACATTATCAAATTACTATTATAATATCAATTTGTTTAAATTAACAATTTAAATTCCATTCATTTAGTTTCACAATGTTTTTGCTAATTTTTTTAAAAACATTAAAATTTTGCATTTTTGGAATAAATTTTGTCGAGAACCAACCTTCATCATCACCATCACAATAACAACAAGCCTTTTTCATCAACATAATAATAACAAGCCTAGTATTATATTTAATAGTAATAACAACATTACATTCAAACAAACATCATCATCATCATTATAATAATAATAATAAATAAATATGGGTAGAAATTCAAGAGAAAAAAGAGATATATTCTATAGAAAAGCCAAACAAGAAGGTTGGAGAGCAAGATCAGCCTTTAAATTATTACAAGTTGATGAGGAATTTAATATATTTGAAAATGTTAAGAGAGCAGTCGATTTATGTGCTGCACCAGGTTCATGGTCACAAGTATTACAACGTAAATTATTAAAACAATTTAAACATTTAGATGAACAAAATAATAACAATAACAATGATGATATTAATTTAAATAATAATGATGATGATGAAATTAATATAAATACAAATGATGATAGTGATGATAAATTAATAACAACAATAATATCCGATAATTCATCATCTAATAATACTAATAATACAATAACAACAACATCATCATCAACAACAATAGAAGAAGAAGATGCTATAATAGTAAGTGTTGATTTACAAGAAATGGCACCATTGGAAGGAGTTATTGAAATTCAAGGAGATATTACAAGTGAAAAAACTGCAGAGGAAATTGTTCATCATTTTAAAGGTAAAAAGGCTCAATTAGTTGTATGTGATGGTGCTCCTGATGTTACTGTATGTTTTTAATAATATTATTTAATATTTAATTAATAATACTTTACAATTTAATATTATTTAATATTTAATATTTAATAATATTTTACAATAATATATTTAATATTTAATTAATAATAGGGAATGCATGATATAGATGAATATATACAATTACAATTAATATTAGCAGCATTAAATATAACAAGTCATGTATTAGAAGAGGGAGGTAGTTTTGTATCTAAAATATTTAGAGGCAAAGATATAACATTATTATATTCACAATGTTCTATTTTCTTTGAAAGAGTTTATTGTGCTAAACCTAAATCTTCTAGAAATTCTTCATTGGAATCTTTTGTTGTTTGTAAAGGTTTTAAATTACCTAAAAATTATATTCCTAGAATGGTAGATCCACTTTTAGATTTTCAATATAATGAAAATAATTTAAATAATGAAAATAATAATAATTTAAATGAAAATAATGAAAATAATGGAGGACCAATGTTAGGAACAGATAGATATATAGTACCATTTTTAGCATGTGGTGATTTATCTGGATTTGATTCAGATAGAACTTATTCAATTGGAACAAATGAAGTATTGGGTATTCCTGTTATTCAACCTCCTACTAATCCACCTTATAAAAAGGCTGTTGAATTAAAAAGAAGTAATACTTTAAAAACTGATTTAATGTTTAAATAAAATTTTATTTTAAATTTTAATAAAATTTATTCAATTTAATAAGTTCTTCCGATTAATTTACTTTTTTGATAAATAATTTATTCATCGTAATCATCACTATCATCATCACTATTTTTAATATAACCAAAAGATAATCTTTTAACTTGTTTAAATTGAGAAGGTGATTGAGGTGCTCTACTTTTTCTAATAATTCTACATGAATGTACTTTAGCAACTCTTTCCAAGGCTTGTTGTGAATTTAATTGATACAAGTGACTAAGTAAAATACTTGATATTGTACCTGTTCTACCATGTCCACCCCAACAATGAATTAAACATTTACTTTCTTCTTTTTTAATTTGTGGTAATAATTCTTGATTTATAAAATTCATTACCTTTTCATCACTTGTAACATAATTATCAGGTATTTCTAAATGTAAATATGTAAAATTATTAATATTTAAATTATTTAATAAACAATATTCTTCAATTAATGGTTTATATGGTATAAATCTATTTAATTCTTCTTTTAATTGTAAACAAACAAAACAATTAATTCCACTTTTTAATAATTGTGATATTTTAATTTTAGATTTTTCTAAATTTAAATCACCTGGATAGGCTGACATTAAAATACGATTAGGTATTAACCAATTAGATGTATCTGTTGGTCCATAATGTATTTCTTTAAATAATGGATTATTAAATTCTATTAATGAAGGTAATTTATATTCTTCTTTAATATTTAAATTATTTAAAATATTTAAATTATTATTTAAATTATTATCAGATGATGATGAAGTGTCATTGTGTTGATCAGATGATGAAGATGTTGCTGACATTTTTTTTATAATAATTATTTTTTGTGATCTATTAAATTCTATTAATAAACTCAAGTTCAGAAGTCTGGGAAAGCTAACATATTTATTGTGCAAGATTCGTACCTGTTACCACCTGGTTCAAGAAAATAAAATTATTTAAATTCAAATTTGGTATAAAAATGTATCTACTTGCGGAAACTATATTTCAGTTAAAACTTCTAGATATATCAAATAATACAATCTGTAATGTGTACTGGGACCTTGTTTCTTCACATGCTTCTATATTTTCGTTTAATGAGTTGAACTGTGCCAATAATTAAGTAAAAACGTGACAATATTTTAAACAGTAATAGCATCAAGAAGATGA